AAGCCGGCTCGCATGGCTCGCCTCTCATTGGCTTCTGGGAAAAACGGCCATGAGGGCCGCCCCGTCGGCTCGCTTGGCAAACATGGCGCTTGCTGAAGCGGGTGCTGCAGCGACATGGAAAAAGGAAAAGAACAGCTGATTTTATTGTTGTGACCATCGTAAGTGCTGTGAGACTCCAGGAGAGATATCGGTAGCCAGCCAGTGTTCACTGCCCCACCAGCACGTGCAATCGACAGCGGAAACGAAGAAACGAGCACAGAGTAGAAAGTGTGTTCGCGGATGCGAGCGTCGTTACGTGTGTTTCCCTGGTTGTAGCGTCCATCTTTCAAGCGTAATTACAAAGAACTTCGAAGATTTCCGAGATGTAATCATCCACCTTTCTAAAGCAGGATATGCGTTTAGTGCGTGCCGAAGTGAAAAGTTTGTAATCATCGCAACAAGTGTTAACGTCGGGTGTGTTCTGTGTGTGCCGTTCGTCACAGCGAATAGCGTGCACAAATTTTGAACGCTTTCGAGCGCTAGCTTCTGCTACGATAAGGAAGAGCAAGTTTTATTGCCCGTCATTGTTGTCATTCGTAATTCCCAACGCCGTACGAGTGCTGTTGTGTGTAGCGCTGTAGTGAAGTTCTGTGGGCCGTGTCACATTTTAGCGATTCTGTCCAGTGTTGTGAAGTGTGTTCATGAATTGTAAACTGTGAAATATTTAGGAGTGTACAGCTCAGTTTCCGAATGATGTAGTTGCGTGCATGTGCCCTGAAGAGGAGCTTGCATACAAGACATTTTTGTGGATGTAGCCCCCCCCCCCCACTCATTATTTAAGGTACGCATTATGATCGATTGTCTGTGGATGCGTGAAATAAGTTGTCTTATACCAAGTTTAAAGCAAGTGTAAGTATCACAATGAATTGTCAGATGTTCGACAGTAGCTGCTAATACAGTATCAATTATTTTGTCAGTATTGTAGGCAGTCACGTTACATTACTTGAACATCACGACAACTTATATATTATGCGATGGTTATCTGCTTGCATCAAGCATTGGAAGAATATTTAAACAATATTTTCTATATTCCGCCGAAATGCCCATGTCTGTCTTGTTAAACATGCATCTGTCATCATCAAGTGTGTAGCAAAATATCTCAAGCACATGTCTGGTCAAGAAAACTTCAAACAACAAAAATGCTTATTATCGTTAGCTCAGTGTTGGATGTCTGTTCCTTCCCAATAGTGCACAGAAAGTGAAAAACGTACACCTTGTCTTCAAAGAAGGATGCCGTCTCTCAATCAGCTAAAATATTTAATCAATGAATTACATGAATACAATAATCATTCATCATTCTTGTTTGTATTAGGTATTTCTCAATTAGTACAAAGTAGCCGAAGGAACTTGTTGGCAATACTGTACACTGATCACCCGTCGTTGGCAGTTGTTGAGGCTTTTAGGGTAAATGAAATCAGCATAATCTTCCAAGCAGTCTATAATGAATAAATCCAGCTATATGTGCATGTTTTTTTTTTTGCGGGGGAGGTGTTGAGAGATTTCTGGAAAAAGCTGGAGCTATTCCATTTTGTGAAGGTGGGTGACCAGCCAAGCTGTGTCGCTCAAGGATTTTGTTTGGCTAATTTTTATTTTTATACATCTACGGGGATTTCTAAAGTTTAGCATATGCTTTTTTGAAGCAGTTCCACCTCAGTTTATGTGGCCTAGAAGTGCAACATGTCGGTTATGTATTTATGTATGCATTTATTCTTTTGCTCTATAATTTTTTCATTCGCCTTTTTTCTGTATAATTTTTTATGCATGAGTGGTGAATGGTAATGGTTGCCCCATTTCTGGGGTGCATACCCACTAGGAGCTTTCTGTAGATTAGGTATGTGTTTGCAGAGTCACAGTACAGCCATACGTATTACTCTCATGGTTGCACTGATGTCAGTCAATTTACCTAGTGCGTCAGCTGCCAATTAAACTCAGTCTGGATGCATACAGTTCCTTAATTCAAAATTTGAATCTAGAGACAGTTGACGACCATAATTTTCCGTTCAATATGTAAGCTTTCGGAGTTGTGTGAACCTATACAGTAGAACCTCACTGATACATTCCAGCTTTATTCCGATTTCCCAGCTGATTGATATGTGTGGTTTAACATCCCAAATCCACCATATGATTATGAAAGACGCCGTCATGGAGGGATCTAGAAATTTTGACCACCTGTGGCTCTTTAACGTGCACGCAAATCTGACACACGGGCCTGCAGCATTTTCACCTCCACCGAAAATGCAGCTGGCGCAGCCCGGATTCGATCCTCCAACCTGCGAGTCAGCAGCCGAGTCCCTTAGCCACTAGATTCACTAGATTACAATGGTGAAAATAAATTAAACGAATTAATATCTCAAGTATTCTCAGATCCTGCATTTATTGTGCGCATTTTTTTTTCAGAAACGTATCAACGTTTTATTGTATATTGGTAGCATGCATCATGAATGTAAGACATGATTAAATGATGTGAGACATGATTCCAACATTGCGGCTTAGGTAACTTTAAGGCAGTCTAATCACGTAGAGATTAACCTGTTTTGGTGAGACGATGTCACTGGAATGTTGTTGTGCCTCTGTGTGCATGAATAACATAGGAACCAGCACATAATGTACTGATAGCACTGACGTAACAGCAGAGTTCGCATCCCACAGTGTCGGTACTGCAACACGACGGTTTTAGGGCGAGCAGTGCAAGCTATTCATAGCCTTGCTATCAGAACATTGATAATACTCGAGTGCAGTGTGACAGCATTAGTAGCACCCATTTCACTGTATTCCCATTTGCTTGCCATTCTTCATTTCTTTATGAACACGTGAAACATGCCGTGAAGGATGGGAAATTTGTGCACATTGTAGAATATTGGCCGTTGTAAACTTTCCCAGGGCGCCAATTGGATTGCAACCACAAAGTACCTACTATGTGTCTGTTAAGCAAATAATGCTCCTGTGTAGCTGTGAATTTTTCAAATGCTGTGGTAGTTGATCACGATGATTTATAGCTGGAACTTTGTAATGGTTCGTCTTGCTATGACTTATATTAGTGGCGGATAAAACACTGGGCTTTTGTTAAAAGGAACCTGGAACGGTTTTGGTGATTTTGTACAAACACATTGGGCTGGTAGATCAAGCCTCAAGGGTTATTTAGAGACAAATTTGAACACTCTGCGTAAACTGTGAAATTTATTACTACGATTTCAAGCTGTCAATCGCTGGAAATCTGTGCAGATATTTGAAACTCGGCCAAATGCCTTTTCAACTGCCCAATCATAGACCAACATGCTCCTCCCAGAGCACATCAGCAGCCACATCAACATGGCTGCTTATCTGACTGGCTGTCATGGGCTGAAGAATGTGCAGAAGTAAGGTCAACTGGTAGGGTGGCAGCACCTATCAGAGCAGATATCAACCACTTACTTCGTGGTCTTTGTTTCTGTTGCCAGATAGGGTGCGTGCTGCCAAGCGCACTGCGTGATGGCCTCCGAGACTGCACGCAACCTGTCAGTGTGCCATTTCGGAGGTCTAGACTGGTAAAAGCTCAAAAGGCGAGCACACTCATGACAGCTCTGCGATCGCCAGCTTGCCTCGTGAGTTGCAGCAGTCAGGCATAGGTGAGGAGGAGGGCATGATATAATTGTCTGTTGCGGCCTTGGTACACGGCCTTGGTACACGGCGTGTCACTTAATTTATGGTGCGAATTGTTTCATGATGCTCTAACCTAAACGCTGACAAAACTTCAGAAAACCTTTTTAGGGTCTCTTCAATGAAAGTTCGCCGAGTTGAATAAGCATTGAAGTACAAGAATAGGTAGGGCTACATAGAGGCAGGAATGCATAATGGAGGTTCAAGTGGGGGAGCGCCCTATGTGCAGAGTTGGAGGGGCAGACACTTGATACTTTATAAGCTCGAAGAGGAGGAGGAGGTGTAAATGAACAAAGAAAAGGGATCTGTAACTTTTGTAAGCACTAAATGCCCGTACGTAACACGAGTGAAGGACACATTATCGATTGATTGATTGATTGATCTGTGGGGTTTAACGTCCCAAAACCACCATATGATTATGAGAAACGCCGTAGTGGAGGGCTCCGGAAATTTCGACCACCTGGGGTTCTTTAACATGCACCTAAATCTGAGCACACGGGCCTACAACATTTACGCCTCCATCGGAAATGCAGCCGCCGCAGCCGGGATTCGATCCCGCATCCTGCGGGTCAGCAGCCGAGTACCTGAGCCACTAGACCACCACGGCGGGGCGAGTGAAGGACACAGGACAAGTGGTAGGCTCGGCCTACATACGTAAATTTAGTTCTTACAAATGTTATACGAATCAATCCCAACTACCATGAACACAGCGCTTTCTCAGAGAAGGAGGAAGTGGAGAATTCCAAAGAAGCATGTCGCCTGTGTAGGATGCTGCAAACGATGTTTTGTGTCATCTGTGCATAGGCGTACCAGCCGTGGAGGGCAAGAGGGGCGCAAGCCCCCTCCCCTACTTTCGACAGTGGTGACTGTTGGCTGCACGCCGGGGAAAGACACAATTGAGGCGAAGTTTTTATTCACCGCAGTATTCACTGAAATATGTTAATACAAGGGAATATTGCAATATAGTGAAATTTCTCCAACATTGTAGTGACGATTTTCTTCGTAGGCTCTTACGATGCGAGCCGCCTAAGCGGCGCTTTGGTTCCTTGTGCTGTAGCATTGCAGAGCAGGCCAGCGCCGAACAGGGGCCCAATAACATCGTATAACTTGTCCACGCTTTCGTTCCGCTGTGACTGGCTGCTGCAGTTATGGATGCAAACGAGCAAACTCTTTATGGACTGGTCAAGCGATGTGCTGCTTCAGGAAAATTATTTTCTTTGATAGAAAATAGATATAGATGCTGCTTTGTCGAAGCGATTTAAGTTACAAATTGTTACGTTCTACCGGCCATAGGCCGGCCGCGGTGACAAGGAAATCAGTCGATGTGGCAGTGCAAACCAACAAGCCTTTATTTCGAGCTCGGAAATATATATAGGAAAGCAAGAGGAGAGAAAGAAGGAAAGTTTTACAATGACGCATGCGCCGAGGGGCGTCATTTGGCCGGACTTGTTATCTGCAGCATTCCTTCCCCCTAGGAGCCGTAGCGTTCCACGGGCTTTCTGATTCTTGTGGACCGACGTAACTCGGGGACAGGGCTTTCGGAAAGGTCATCCGCTTCGCATTTCGGAGCATCCTGGGTGGTTCGGTGTTGTCCCTCGGGTGGCGGTTCTTCTGGAGTCGCTGTTTCTCGGCTTGCACCTGTGTCGGATGAACGTTTTCGCACCTGGTCGACATGACGTCGAACGACGCCGTCTTCCGTTGCTACAGTGACGAGACGTGCCCCACTCGTCGATTTCACTTTGCCTGGCGTCCACTTGTCCCCAACACCGTAGTTGCGCACATAGACGGCATCTCCAGGAGCGAAGTACCAACTCGCAGACTCAGCACCTGGATTCTTCGGCAATTCGTGGTTCCTGGGAGAAAAGCAAATATCCAGTCTAGTACGCAAACGGTAACCCAAAAGTAGCTCAGACGGCGAAACCCCTGAAGCTTGTGGCGAATTCCTATAGTTACAAAGAATTCTTGACAGAGCCGTTGACAGTTCTACTCCGGGCATTCTCTTCAACCCATCCTTAAGGGTTCGCACGGCGCGTTCTGTGAGCCCATTGCTTTGAGGGTGGTAAGGAGGGGTACGAATGTGCTCGATTCCATTTTTCTGCACAAATTGAGCAAATTCTGCCCCTGTAAAAGGCGTACCGTTGTCGGTAACTATGGTGCGCGGTAATCCAAAACGGCTGAACAAGGTTCGCATAGAATCCACCGTTGCATTAGCGGTTGCTCGCGATACTGGAATGGCTTCTATCCAATTGCTGTGTGCATCCACGATTACCAACAGCATTTTGTTGGAAATAGGTCCTGCGTAATCTGCGTGCAACCGCGACCACCTCTCACGCGAAATTGGCCAACTGACGCGGTTCCGTTCCGGGGGCATAGGCAAAGCTTGCACACAATTTTTGCAGTCTGAAGCGGCCCTCTGGATGTCTTGATCCAGACCGGGCCACCAAAAGCTAACCCTTGCCCTTGTCTTCATGGTGGACGCTCCCTGATGCGATTCGTGCAACAATTTCAATAGCTTCTCACGCGCCGTTCTTGGTATCACTACCCGATGGCCCCAGAATAACATGCCCTTCTCGACAGACAACTCATGTCGCCTTTTCCAGTATTCGACCATTTCTCTGCTGTCACCCGCGACGGAAGGCCATCCTTCAGTCACGTACCTACATACTTCTTGTAAAACGGCGTCCGCTTCTGTGAGTGCTTGAAGTTCTTTGTGCGAAACCGCGGGCTCGTCCAGCTGGTCAATGAGAAGCACCATTTCCGTGAGGTTTTCCGTTTCTGCTTCCGGCTCCTGCAAGGATTGTGGTAAGCGGCTTAGGGCATCAGAGATTAACATCTGACTGCCGGGTTTACAAATAAGCTTGTATTTATACGCGCCGAGCAAAAGCGCCCATCGCTGAATGCGTGCGGCAGCCATAACAGAAGTCTGACGGTCCGGTCTCAGTAGCCCCAGCAAAGGACGGTGATCTGTTACCAACGTGAACTCCCGACCCAAGAGGTAATCGCGGAACCGTGTCACGCCAAACACTAAGGCTAAAGCTTCTCGCTCGATTTGAGAGTACTTCATTTCAGCTGAGGTGAGCGTTCGTGACCGGAACCCAATTGGCCTGTCTTCGCCATTTATACGGTGAAACAGGGTAGCACCGACACCGTAAGGGGAAGCGTCGCATTCCAGCAGCAACTCCAGCTGCGGATCAAAATACGTTAGCACTGGGGCCGAACACAAAGCGCTCTTTGCCTTCTGAAATGCCGAGTTTTCTTTCGTGTGCCAAACCCATTTTGCGCCTTTTTCAAGAAGCTTATACAAAGGTGCAAGCACAGTGGAAAGATTTGGCAGAAACTTATTGTAAAAAGTGACCATTCCTAAAAAGGATCGCAACTCAGCAACATTTCGTGGCAACGGGGCCAGTCTGATTGCGTCGACGTTCTTTTCGAGCGGATGTAGTCCCTCGGTATCAATACGATGTCCCAGATACGTCACCGACGATTCACAAAACCTGCACTTTTCTGCACGAAGCTTGATGCCGTACTCGCGGAATCGCTGCAACACTGCTTCCAGATTAGCATTTTCATTGTTGTTGCTCTCGGCTATCAGCACATCATCCAGATATGCCTGTGTCCCTGGCAGCCCTTGTAGCACCGATTCAATCTTCCGTTGGAATATCGCAGGAGCTGACGCGATGCCAAACGGCAATCTATTGTAGCAGAACAGCCCCTTCGGTGTATTTATCACTGCTAGTTTCCGCGAGTCTTCATCTAGCTCGACCTGGTTGTATGCATCGCGAAGGTCCAATATACTGAATTTCTTCCCTCCACGTAAATTTGCAAATATGTCGTCTATGACAGGCAATGGGTACTGCTCAACCTCGCACACTGGGTTTAAAGTCACCTTGAAATCACCGCATATGCGCACCGTTCCGTCCTTCTTCAAAACTGGAACAATGGGCGTCGCCCATTCGGAATGAGGAACTGGAGAGATTATGCCAGCGGATACTAATCTGTCAAGCTCCTTTGACACTTTATCGCGAAGTGCAAAAGGAATTTTTCTTGCCTTGAAAAACTTGGGGGTTGATCCGGTCTTGATATGCAGTCGGGCCGGCGGACCTTTCATGAGACCAGTGCCCTCAGTGAAAAGGTCAGCGTTTTTCTGGAGCAGCTTCGGAATGACCTCCTGGGCTTGGCTTGACCTTGAAGGCTGCGGATACACGTTGAGAACCTGGATACATTCGTCGGTTAATTTTTTCAGCAGATCCCGACCGCAAAGACTGGGCCCCTCGCAGTCTAAAACAGTCAAAGTACATTGCACTGTTGTACCTTCGTAGGAAACCGGCATTGTTATTGCGCCGAGAAGCGGAAGTCTGCCCAGATAGCATGAAAGCTGTAGTTCTGACTTCTGTAGCTGCGGCCACTGATGACAGTACGTCTCGTAGATGCTCTTAGGAATGACGCAAACAGGCGAGCCCGTATCGATGTCCATCGTTACTTGAATGCCGTTCCACGCGAATTCCTTTCTTATAGGGGGTATGAGCGAGCGCTTAGTGGTCAACGACCAAATCTGCGACGCACTGTTATCACTGTCTTCCGTTTCTGTCGCCTGTGCTGTCACTGCTAGCATTCTGCTTGTTTTGTCGTTCACCGCGCACATTCTGGCTAAATGCCCTCGCCGTGTACATTTGAAGCATCTGCGCTGGATTAGGCGACAAGCATTGGTTCTGTGACCCTGCTTTCCACAACAATTGCATTGTTGTACGCCCGCCGTCTTCGCGCGCGACTCATATTGAGCACTCAACTTGAGCAAACTCGCTTGCTCTTTGTCCGAAGTAATACCTTGCGAATCGCGTTCGGCGCTTTCTGCGGCCAGGGCAAGGGCCTCGGCTTCTTGAAGATTAAGGTCTTTCTTTGCTAGCAGCTGCTTTTGCAAATTCTTGGACCTGACTCCACACACAATACGGTCCCTTATCATTCTGTCCAGCATCGTCGAAAAGTTGCAATTCTGGGCCATCTGTCGAATTGCCACAATAAATGCATGCACAGACTCCCCTTCTTGCTGGCAGCGATGGAAGAATTTGAAACTTTCTGAAATTTCATTCGGCACTGGGTCGTAGTAGCTGTTTAACGTCTGCACAACTTCCGCGTAGGTCAGAGCATTAGGTTTCTTCGGCGCTACTTTCCCGTTCAAGATTTCAATTGTCTTTGTTCCAAGCGCGGCTACCAGCAGGGCCCTCTTCTTAGCATCGTCCTTCACATCATTAGCTTCAAAGTAAGCCTCCACCTTTACCAAGTACGCCTGCCACTTATCTTTTGCGTCTTCGAATTCCGGTAGCTGGTGTGCCATGGCTGGTGGGTTCGTTCTGCAGGCCGTCGCTTGTGGGCATATGCTGGCCTTCTTGCTGCTGTAGAATTCTCGTCGCCACTGTTACGTTCTACCGGCCATAGGCCGGCCGCGGTGACAAGGAAATCAGTCGATGTGGCAGTGCAAACCAACAAGCCTTTATTTCGAGCTCGGAAATATATATAGGAAAGCAAGAGGAGAGAAAGAAGGAAAGTTTTACAATGACGCATGCGCCGAGGGGCGTCATTTGGCCGGACTTGTTATCTGCAGCACAAATCTTTTTTGATGTTTTAATGTTATCTGGAAGCGCCAAAAAGGGGTCTCCGCGTTAGTCTCCGATAAACCTGATTAGCCTTGCTTATGCTAACTTGGAGCAATGGTGGCAGCTTGCAAAGTGGCGAGAAACAAAGCAGTGGACTCGAGCACAATGGAAATCTCAGCTTTTAAGCTTGTCCTTCAACTATAGCCACCGGACCAAGGAGAAGGTGAAAGAGTATGGTTTTTAGCACTATTGAGGCTTAATTGCGAGTCAGGCTAGTAGGTTTTTATTCAACTCTAATGGTCTTTTGCAGCTAAAGTTACAGCTTGGTTAGCAAAGAAGCACACACGTGCAGCGCCGCTTATTTCTCTCTTTTCCTCTCTCTCTCTTTGTCTCTCTCAGCAAGGACACAGAGATGTCTGCGCGCACAAACTACAAAACGCCTTGATGCTGCAAGTGAAAATATCTTACTAAGCTCATGTTATTTCATCTTGGAAGCTGCTATAAGTAACCGTTGATAATGTGACCGGCGGCTAGTTTACTTGAATATTATTTAAAAGAATATGCTCTCCGACTACCCCAAAGAGTTTTAGGTATTGTTCAGTGCGTGAATGCCCTGTTTAATTGGCATGTACTGTAATGAACACCGCTAAATTTCACAGATTCCTGATGTAAGAGGCAGGCGATATTACCGTAATTACTCGAATCTAACGCGCACCTTTTCCGGTTAAGCCAGTTCATAAATCGCATGCGCGTTAGAATCGAGTACGAACAAAGATTTACGGTCAATCTATTGCCATCGGCAAATCCAAAATGGCCGCCCCCTACGTGCGTTGGCATGGCGCGTCGGCCATTTCTGCCTACGTGTTTCCCATGTGCGGCACTTCGTACGTCTGCTGAGGAGTTTGTCATCTAGTAGTGCATTAGCACCGACAGCGTGGAAGAACCGACTCCAAAAACTCGAGTGCACCCCGATGCCGCTTTTAAAAGAACAGACATCGCGTGTGCTGAAACGGACGGAAATGGGGCCGCACCGCGGTCGTTCGGAGTTCTCGAAACGTGCGTGCGGGACCGGCGGAAACACAGCAAAGCTTCACGCAAAGGCTTCAGTGGACCGCAGCAGGGTCGGTTTCCGCAAATTAAAGAGCTGCTCGGCGAGTATGTGCTTCAGCAGCGAGCGGAACAGCGGCCCGTGACGACAGAACTGCTCCAAGTGCGGGCTATGCAATTAGTCTTAGAAAAAGGTCTAATGCGGAGCCAGTTTGAAGCGAGCAGGTGCCGGCTAACTAACTTTATGAAGAGGAAAGGTTTTTCCCTCCGAAGGTGAACATGCATATGCGAAAAGTTTTGCGAAGGAGTACGATGAAAAGCTTCACAGTTTTCAGAGGTTCGTTCTAAACTTGCGGCGCAACAAGGGCTACCTGCTTGAGCAAATCGGGAATGCCGATCAGACGCCTCTTTACTTCGACATGCCTGGCACCACAACCGTCGAGAAGAAGGGGGCGAAGCAATTTCGCGTGCTGACATCGGTCCACGGTAAAACTACAGTGACGGCAATGCTCTGTTACACGTCAGATGGGCACAAGCTTCGCCCGTACTTCATATTTAAATGGAAGACGCTCCCGAAAGGAGTCGCTTTTTCGAGTGGTGTGATCGTGCGGCTCAGCGAGAAAAATGGGTGCGCGTTGCAATCGATGTCTTACCTTTTTTTTTTTTCGCGGTGGAAATCGGGTGCGCGTCACAATCGAGGGTGCGGTAGAATCTAGTAAATACGGTATGGCACACAGACAATATTAAATGTCAAAGAAGCAATGGCAAACAATATGCTGCCATTTTGAAAATGGTTTATTCTCTTACTTTTTTGTGGTCGTTTATAAGTGGTCCCTACACAATGAATGTGTGTGTGCGTGTGCGTGTGTGTGTGTGTGTGTGTGTGTGTGTGTGTGTGTGTGTGTGTGTGTGTGTGTGTGTGTGTGTGTGTGTGTGTGTGTGTGTGTGTGTGTGTGTGTGTGTGTGTGTGTGTGTGTGTGTGTGTGTGTGGTTAGGTTTGCCCTCCCCACCCAACTCGCGAAAGAGTCTGTACACCCCTGCATTTGTGGATCTTTTTGTTACATTCATCCCTTTCTGAAGTCAATCCTTCAACCAACTGTGAAATCCTGGAGCCTCTTTGGAGGCTGTATGGTACTTCGAGGTCCGGCAGAAATTCCAGTCTGCTTTGGTTGATCTGTCTCTGGCTCACTGACTTTAATGTGTTTGTCTGAGGAAGGGGGAAGGGCTTGCCCTGTTGAGTAGTCGGTTCCTTCTCAGGATGCAGTCTTTCAACTGAACTTCATACGACCTGTCGTCAAATCTCCTA